CTTCATGGAGATTTCACTAGTTCCATTGAGAAGTAAAAACATGAGGAATTATCGAGAAATGAGAACAAAAGCTGGTAAACAGAAAAATTAAAAAAGAAAACTTTGATGAACTGAGAAAAATAAATCCCCTTTTGGAAATGTTTGAAGATCAGTGAGAGAAAAAAAAAAAGGTATGGAATATTAAGAGAGTTGAAATTTCTGATTTTAGATGGCAAAATGCAGTGAAGCAAGTATAAAATGGTGAAGGGCAGAAAACTTGACAAATCCTTGCACGGATTTCCTGATTCTTTTTATCAAGTGAATGAAGCAAGAAAAAAAAAAAAAAAAAGCTAAAAATGAAAAAATTCAGTGGAACTTGTTACCAAGAAAGCTTTATGGAAGATAACAAGGGCTGAGTGAAAATAAAGAGAATCCTATTATCATAAACAGAACAGAAGTAAAGCAGAAATATATATAAAGTTCCTTCATTAAGTTTTATACATACAGAGGTTTAGCAACATGCTATGAATTCCACTAAGCACCTGACTCTTCCTGTTATTTTCTACCTTTACAAGATCCAAGATGAAAATGGAGTACTGCTGCCATATATAGGTAGGAGCTACTCAGTCTTCACTTCCCAGTCTCGATAGAATCCAAAAGGTCTGGTGGTGGGGTGGAAGCAGAGGGAAGGAAATTGTACTGAAAGGACATGGCACATAAAAAGAAAGAAAGAAGTCTTAATTTGTCCAAATTTCTTCAATGAAATGTTACTAAAAGGAACATGAGTATTACAATAAAATCAGCAAAAATAAGGTGAAAAGAAAAACCATCCTTGTGGGTGATGAATTATTTTTCACCCTTTCACTCTATTTTCCTCCATACAAAATGTTACAAGCCTTTTATAACTCTATCACTATTTCCATGCAAAGTGTTCAGATGGACTACATTCCCTAGTTTCACCAGTCCTAACCTTCATGACAGAGACCCGCCATGTTACACACATTGTAGTAAACCATCTTCATTACTTTTATATTCCATTGGTGAGATATAATTTCCTCTCCAACAGATTCTTCCCATGAACCTCTGCTTTGTGAAACAGTTTCCCAAGAGGAAGATTCCCCAACCACTACAATCTTAACCTGTTCAAATCTAGGATTAACCATTATATTCACCATATATCCCCATAAACTGTGTCTCTGACTTTGTAACCATCTAACTTGGGTGGCTCTTGGGCACTGAACATAATTGTAAAAAAAAAAAAAAAAAAATTAGAAGGATTTTCCAAATTCAAATCCAGGGCCTTCTCACTCCTGTTATAGGAACCCCTCCCCGATTGACCATGTATTCAGGGGTGTATCCATAGTCACCATGTTTGGCCAATTGTAGGTTGGTGAGGCTATTTAACCCATAGTTGGATGCATTGAATTCAGAGATGTCCTTCTCTTAAAACATAAAACTCATTAGTTATAAATATTAGCTATTCTGTGTCAACTGTAGAGCTATTCAGATGATACTTCCATCTACTTCAAAATGAAATTGCTCTCATTTGACCACCATAGAAAAACTTTCCTGCTAGTCATCAACATGACTGATGCTAGACTCCTGGGGAGCAACACATTGCACCTTCTTGGCCCCACCTTTTCAATTGACTTGAAGTGAAACAACTACATTGAATCAATAGCTGCATCTACTGCAAGGAAAGTTGGGTCACTGTTTCTTTTTCTTGCTGGAAAGTTTTTCTCATCAGAGTCCATCTTGCACATTACAAATCTACCATTTGCCATGCATTGAATACTGTTGCCATATCTGGTCTGGTGCTCCTGCTATTCATCTCCAGGTTCTTGACAAAACCCAAAGAAGGATCTGCAATATAATTCAGTTATTTTCTCACCGACATGACATGGCTTCCCTCTGTTTTTTCTGCAAATATTTTCATGTCAACTGCTTTAATGAGCTTTTATCCTTGGTGCTCCAATTACTTGAATTTAAGCATGCTACTAGATTGGCATCTAGGTCCCACCCTTTAAGTGTTGAAATAGTTGAAATGTAACTGCCACTTCTACAACAGTTTCTTTCTCACCTATAGAACTTGGTTCTATTTACTTGCTTCCCTGATAATTACAATCTTCAAAAATTTTAATACATCATCAATTCCCATCTCCTATCTTTCTGAATCCTGTTCAACTTTTATCCTTTGCTCAATCTCTCCTATACCTAGTCTTTTCTCTCACTTTCACTCTCTGTAAACTACTGTGTACTTGTGGCATTCTTGCCTTTCCTGGGGGTGAAATGATTAAAAAAATATATATATACTCTATCAACCAGATCACATAAAATGTAAATGATATATTATAAATTATATTAGACTTTCTGTAATTACTGGTGGCACTGTCCATATTGATTTAATAAAAGTGCCAAGTTTCTTTGTTTTACTAGTTAATATAAACTAATAAACAATAATCAAAATGTTGACATTCCACACGACTTCAAGCAAAAGGTTAAAACGGAAACCCCCATAAATACGGGAAAGAGTAATAACAATTACTTGAGAAAACTCTTTTCCTGAAAAATTGTTTTTAAGAGAAAGATTTTATAAATTTTAGCCGAAAGTAGCATTGGTTTCTCGGTTATGAATGTTTCCTTATAAGGAAATGGCTAATATTAACATCACCAGAGAGTTTTTGACACTTATCCAACTGATATTGTTATATTTTGCTTTTTTATAGAGATTGATTATTTTTCACTTCCAAGTTTTGTAAACAGTTCTTCATTGTCATAACAAAGACACTGCCACCTGGTGTCGTTAATATAAATGAGATAAATAATTTTATCTCATTTTACTGGTGACAGATATTACAGACAAAACAAGATACAAATACACATTGCGTATTATATCATAAAATGTGGTTAATTGTATTCTAAAGGGAAATCTGGGCAAACAATAATGAATAACAAATCTAATTTCACATTATCTGAAAACACAAGCATACATTCTGAATGTAAAGGCTCCTATCCAATATATACTATTTAGAGAAAATAAACATGTCCATTTTATATAAACAATCAATATTTTGCTAGCTTATTTGATGCATCCATTTAATCTTAAAAAGAAAAGGTTCAAAATATTATACAGCATAAATTCGTATTATAAACAGGGGCTTGTGTAAATGGATGGCAGAATGGAGATTAAGGAGAGATAACAAGACAAAATTTACTAAGAACATCAAAGGACAGGAAATTGTGGAGAGCCATGATTGGCAACATCCTGAATGGACATGACACACTGAAGAAGGTAGAAGTTGTGTGCCTACAGGGCCCGGATAAGCCTCATTGAAATGTCATATATTGGCAGGAATATACAGTTCATTCATTTTCTTTCTTTCTTTCTTTCTTTTTTTGTTCTTCTTCTCCCTTCTCTATACATTTTTTCTATCTATATCTCTCTAACTTCTTGGTTTCTTTCCCTTTTCAGCCATCTTTTCTCAATGTCCTTACTCTTTTTCCATCTTTATTTCCTCTTCTTCTTCTCTTAATCTCACCTTCTCATTATCCTAATCCTTTCTTAATTTTCTCTCTCTCTCTCTTTCTCCACTTCTGTTCCTAAATCTAGCTTTCTTCCTCTTCTCTCTTACCTACTTCTCATCTCTCAGTCCTTTCTGCTTTTCCAAACACTTCTCGGCTAATGATGTGAAGATAAGCAGATTACAGGGAACGTAGCCATTAGGATTAAAGCCAACCAAGTCAGTTTGCCAAGATTCTCAAGACCTGCAGGACTCTTGGCACCAATTCTGTGAAAGATTACCACTGATTACCAACAACAGCACTCAACCTTTAAATATGTTTTGCCATAGCCTTATGCATATCTTTAGAGAAATATAAGTAACCATTTGCAGTAGAGTCTTATGTCTTTTGTATCATAGAAAAATAGAAGGATTAATTGCATCTTTTCAACTGGGCAAAGGTTGGTTAAAATAGACATTTATGGCTAGCAAACATTTTAATAATCTAAGTATCAGGTCTTTTCAAGATGTAAGAGTTCTCCACAGCCATTTTTTTTAATATCTGTAAAATGTACATCGCCATAATTGTTTGTTGGAAAGAGAGTGGTTTCCCATTGCTTTCTTGTTTTGTATTCAGAGTTATACATCTTCTAAAATAGTTGACAACCAGTTTGCCCTTCTGTTTTATTCATGACTTAGATTTTTATAAACACAGACAATTTGTTCCAGAAAATATTCTTAAATTGCAGGTTCATATTTTCACCAAGGTTATTTGTACATAAGTGAATATAAGGAACCCAACTGGAATTGAAACTCAGCTCTCCAATTAAAAATTGCAAACTGTTATTCATTTTACCACCTGCATATCTAAGCTGATATTCCCAAGTGTTCAGCCATCTAAAAACTGACGTTGCTTTGCATTTGTGATTGGATGGGAACCAGTGTTTCAATGTGAAGTGGTTGTGAGAAAACAGATGATAACGACTGACATTGCATTTAAATTTTTGAAGATTAAAGTTGACTGAAAAGCAAGAAGCCGGAAGAGAGTCCCAAAATGAGAAGTGCAAGAGAAGAAACTGTTAACATAAAACTTATAGTTACATCGTACCATTTCAACTGTAAAATGATGAGATCTTGCTGCCAATATTTGAAATAACCAGAACAGTAACATTACAAATATTTCCATTAATTCATTTCATTAGTTTTCTAAAAATTAGTCAAATTAAAACTAGCTAATAAAGTGAGATGCAATGTACTTATTAGTCATCCTTAGTAACTGACAAGAAAGTATTATAGTTATTGGATTATTTCAGTACATCATCAGTCATTTAAATGCAAATTGTTGTTTCTAATGTAAGTAAAGAAAAATATAGATTTATAATTATACATAGTATTCTGTCTACATTTACCATAATTTTTGATTTACCTTAATTCTTGATGTTCAATACATTTCTATAATAAAATTGTAACCAGTATTTTTGCATTTTTCATATTAGAGCTCCATATTCTGTAATGCTTGTATTAAAGAAAGCAAAGAAAATGTACAGAAATGTTATGAAGGAAAGAATGTGGAGAAGAAAAAAAGTAAGAAAGAAAGAAAGAAAGAAAGAAAAAAGGAAAGAAAAGTATTATGAAAGCATGAGTGGAAGAAGGAGGAGTGGAGAAATAGAAGGAAAGAAAGAGAGAAGATATTAAACAAGACTGGAAAAAAGAAAGAAAGAGTAGAAAAGTATTATGAAGAAAGAAAGAAAAGTTTATGAAAGAAAGAAAGAAAGAAAGAAAGAAAGAAAAAAAGAAAGAAAGAAAGAAAGAAAGAAAAGCGTGAAGATATTAAACAAGACTGGAAAAAAGATAGAAAGAAAGAAAAATTAGAAAATTATCTTGAAAGAAAGAGTGTGAAGATATGAAGAAAGAATGGAGAAATAAAAAGAAACAAAGAAAGAAAGGGTAGGAAAGTATTAAGAAAGAAAGCAAGAAAAAAGTATGATGAAAGAATGAGTGGAAGAAGAAGGAGGGGAGAAATAGAAGGAAAGAAAGAAAGAGTGTGAAGATATTAAACAAGACTGGAAAAAAAGAAAGAAAGAAAGAATAGAAAAATATGATGAAAGAAAGAAGGAAAGTGTGAAAAATATTAAGAAAAACTGGAAGAAAGAGTGGAGAAACATAAAGAAATAAAGAAATATTAAGAAAGAAAGAAAGTGTTTGAAGACATTAAAAAAGAAAGAGTGGTTAGATATTAAGATATAGGTTGTTAGAACGACTGGTGAAAGAGTAATTTATAGTGTTCTTTAAGTGATAGTTATCAACTCCATTCCTGTTTGAAAAGTGTAACAGTTGTACATACAAAAAAGCAAAATAATAAAATTGTTTATAATATAGTGCATAAGAGTAATGCTGAACATTCCTTGCTTCATATAGTTCAATGCTGGTAAATGGTCTTCAAATGATGCTGGAAATTTGAAGATGAAATGAATATGGAAACCTTTCATTAGAAATTCTCTTTCTTAAAATATATTCTTTTCTATATAAGAGATAGAAAAGAATATATGTTTACTTGATATTTTGAAAATAGTACTGATGAGAAGCAGGGGCTGTAAACTTGAAAGAAAGGAAAAAAAAAAGAAAAATTTAAAGTAAAAGAGTTTTAGATAAGAAAGAAAGAAAGAAATTTACAAAGAAAATTTATAGATGTAAAGAAAGAAAAGAGAAAGACAGAAAAGAGAAAGACAGAAAAGAGAAGGACAAAAAAGCAGATACAAAAATAGAGAGAGGGATGCAGAGAAAGAAATACTGAGAGGAAAGTAAAAAGAAAAAGAGGAAAAGAAAAACAGAATAGAGAAAGATGAGAAGAAAGACAAATAAATAATAGCAAAAACAGAAGATAGATATAGAGAGAGAAAAAAGGGGGAGAGAAAAGACCTAAAAGAGAAAAAAAAGGTAAATAGAAGAATAAAGAAAGATAATGAGAAACAAAGAGACAAATAAATAAAAGTGAAACAGGAGAGAGAGAGAGAGAGAGAGAGAGAAAGGAGCAGAGAAAAGAGCTTGAAGAGAAAAATAGATGTAGATAGATAGACAGAAAGAAAGAAGGATACTGAAGGAAAAAAAGACAGAGAAAAGAGAAAAATAGATGTAGATAGATAGACAGAAAGAAAGAAGGATACTGAAGGAAAAAAAAGACAGAGAAAAGAGAAAAATAGGTGTAGATAGATAGACAGAAAGAAAGAAGGATACTGAAGGAAAAAAAGACAGAGAAAAGAGAAAAATAGATGTAGATAGATAGACAGAAAGAAAGAAGGATACTGAAGAAAAAAGACAAAGAATGAGAGAAAATAAAATTTAAAAAAAGGAGAAAAACTAAAAATATAAGATGGATAACAGTTTTGAAACAAATAGTCAAGCTTTGTCTTTGGGGAATATTTTTCTCAGTGTAAGAAGACATCCAGACCACTGCTAAGTGGAGGAATGGTATTCTTCTGCAACCAACAGATAATTGAGTGATGTGGTCAGATTAAATATAATAGGATTTTTACACATTGTATACACAAATATATCTACCTACTTATTTGTCAGTTCTAAAAAAAATAAATCACAACTTTACTGTCTGGTCAAACACACACAATCGTTTTTTTTCTCAAAACCTGTCAATTCAATGAGGTCTATAAATACAGATTAATGAGGCTTCTTGTCTCATTTTGAACATATATTAGCACAATTATAGAATGTACTAAACAAAACGATAGAGAATTGACCTGGAAGATGTAAGGTTTAAGGTTTAATTTCCATAGCTCAAGATTTTGTTTATGAAAGATTTAATCTTATTTTATTTTCAATTTGTACAATTAAAAATAGATGTGTGGGTGGCATATAAATTATTGGCACAGAAAGTGCAGTCGGTGAGCCAAATTCAAATTCACCGCTAGTCTGTTGCATTCACTTTCACACAAATACTCTCAGGAAAGGCATGAACCTATTTCTTCTCCCCCTAGCTACTGACATATAGTCTAGGAGAAGGACAACTCAAAACCATTGTGAAATTAAAAATAAATCCATTAACTCTTTAGAAATATATGTCTGTATATATTATGTAGATTTAATAGGTCAGTTAATAAAATTTGAGGTATAAAAAAGCAGCAAAATGATAACAATATTGGCAATAAGATTGATGATATTTATTATATATTAGCCTTTTGAATAAATTGCTGCACAAAGAGAAAGATTTTAATGTTGGAATTTTTGGACATACCTGTGTCCTTTTTCAATGAGACAAGGAATAAGCAAAGAAATGGGACTTAATCTGCCAAGGAATGTTATTTTATTTGGTTAAAAGGCTCCCTGTGGAAATTATACTCTCTGAGTAAACTTAAATCCCTGTTTAGTCCCTCAATGTGTGATTTTATCCTGGGGTCATCAAAGAACAAGTGTGTGAAACAAAAGTATTTAGGTGTTAGTACAGATAACCAAAATATTGAAGTACAAGTTGTAGTATGATTTTTGGATATTTAAAAAAATATATTTATGATAATGATATAGCAAGGTATTGTTGAGGTGCTCTGGCTTATGGTACAAATTTGAAGCTTTGTGAGGCTTCCCTGGTCATCATTTAAAGAAAAATTTTGGGTAAGCCCAACTCTTAAAACTTCATAAATAGTTTTATGCATAATGGAAATTTGCATATAAATTTATAGGTACATGTTACTGAATATATATTGAACTACATCTCGTGAAATTATAGCAAGAACAACAAAAAATACTGACTTGTTTGTTGTCATCAACATCTAAACATATTTCTCAATGATGGTTGGTTGCTTCAGTAAAATTAATTTATGCTTTCTGAAATGATTTTATGGACCTCAAAATCATTTAGGACATCTGAGAGAAGTGTTAATTCTGATTTTCTAGATTTTTTTTGCTTGTTGCCAAGCAATTTTCCAAATCTAATTTTCTAGTTTTGCTTTATTTATCACGAGATTTTCTAAATGCATGTAGAATATTAAATGGCAGTGCATACAGAATTTAACAAGTGGAGTCTGCATCAATAATTATCTTCAATTCAGAACATGCAAAGACATTTGTAACAAATAAAAAAAAGTGGTTCATGTTTTAAGATATTTTACAAAATTACAAAAAATTATTAAAAATTATATAATTTAGAAAGTGCTAGAATTAGATAGAGATGTATGTTCATGTATATAAAAATAGAGATAAAGATTTATTTATTTTTGACAAGTTATCTTTACGAATTATCAAAATGATTCATGTACAAGAATTCTGATATTTGTCCATTGAAACATTGATTTTGGAAAGTGGGCCAGGCAAAGAACCTTTAAGCACCCACTTTTATTTTGTTCAAATTAGACAATTATATATATATATATATATATATATATATATATATATAAAATCAACATTTTATTTTTACTCGCAGCTTCTTCTTTTTAATATTGCAAATATTAAATGTGGAAAATAAAAAAGAACCTATCACATGTTTTCAGATATTTAACTCGTATAAATGTTTCCAAAATTACAAATCAGTTGATGATTTTTTTAATATTTTGATATAATTAAATTAGTTTCTTATAATTCTGAATATATTTAGTATCTTATGTGTTTATTTTGGCTCCCCAAAACAAGGAAAAATCTTTAAATAGTATTTAAACATAGCTTTGATCATCTACAGATAAAAGGACAAGTAACATAGAATGAATGATTGCAAATACACACACACACACACACACACACACACACACACACACACAGGGTGTGGCAGAAATACCTCCCACGTAATAGGAATTCATTAGTGAAAATGGTGTCTTCATCTAACTCATGTTTTATCATTATGTGGGAAGTATTTGTGGGAGATATTTCTGCTCCACCCTGTATTAGAAATCTATCTATATATATGTATATATAAGATAAAGAACAAATAGGTAATGTCTATCAATCTAACATATTTCATTTTTATTAAAGCTTCAGCAGAGATTGCAAGAAAACAGACAGAACTTTGGTATTTTCAATTTTGTCTGGATCAATTCTCATTGGTCAGTCATATATCATGTGCATTAAAAATGTAGATAATTCTATATGTATAAAATTTAATAATATTGTGAATACAAAAATGTCAAAATCAGATACTCAGAGTTTCATGTAATAACAATCATCAGATATTTGACAAAATTTGATATTATTATTATGATATAATGGAATATGCATACACCTGTGTTCCCCACTCACTGGAATATGATTGGCTGGTCTTCGTCATAAATACAGACAGACGTGTAGGTACGACAGAGTTTAAGTCTATGACGATGCCCATTGGACTATGCCATTGGTTATTCTATTGGTCTACACTTATTACCTGCGACTACGATGAGTACCAGTTGATTACTGCTACCGTGTACTATTTGGTTATAGTAGCCAAACCCACTTAGCTACTTTGATCAAATATATCCCTTTCCGGGACATATCATATTATAATTTATTACATTTAGGCACTGTTGATTTTGGTATTGTCCCCTTGGTTTATTTTATATTTTAAGTTTGTGACTTATTTTATAATTTAACTTATATTGTGTGCATGTGATATATATATATATATATATATGTATGTATTTTAGGAATATTTTCTGTCCTTTACCAATTGAGGATTGTGCAACCACCTCCAACATCACAAGAGTATATGAAACTACAAGTCATAGGTACAGTGATGGTTAAGTAAAGTATATTTATGGGTTAAAGTACTCAATATCAGGGATAGAATGTATGTAAATAATAAAATGGACATTGAGGTCAACACACAAGTCACTTTCATGCGTAAATGCAGTTTTCATGCCTAAATATTGCATTTAAGCATGAAACAGACTGTGACTTCTGGGTGTTGACTTCAATGTCCACTTTTTTATTTAAATGCACTCAATCCCTGATACTGAGCACTTTAACCCACAAATATAACACACCTTAAAACTATATTTTTATCATATATATATATATATATATATATATATATATATATATATATCAAAGGAAAAGCTGAATACATTAAAGAGTTTGGTAATAATTTATTTCAGACAGACAACTACCTCTCATTAGACCTGAGTTATAAAATACGTTAAAATATATATATATATATATATATATATATATATATATATATATATATATATATATATTTATTTATTTAACAACACAAATTTGTTTTGTCTAACAAAAAAACATGAATCAAAAAATTTAACGTGTTTAAAGGTGAGTAGACTTTTTTTTATATTTCTCAATATCAAAACCAAGTGACAATATTTAAAATAAGTTCAAAATTGATCCAGTTTCACAGATATACTGCTCATATGAGCTTTAGGTTTGCAAAGATATCAGCTGCCAGGTTTTGGTCATCTAGATTTTTGGAGGTGCCCTACCCTAAATCATGATATTGTCTGCATTATATTTATTAATGATCTGAGAATGTTCGTCGGCAGATTATTAATATAAAGCAGGAAGAGAGTAGGGCTGAGGAGAGTGCCTTGGGAAATGCCTGCATTGATTTCATGTTCTTCAGAGGAACAGCCATTAATGATGACCTTCATGGTCCTACCTGATAACAAAGATTTGATAAATGAGAAGACTGTTCAAGAAATACCATAGCTGGAGAGTTTGTGTAGAAATCCTTTATGCCACACCTTGTACCAGATTTAGCAAAGCTTAATAAAGATCTGTATTACAAATCTGTTTTGTATATTTAATTCAGCTTTTCAATCATGCATTTTTTCTAACCTTTTATCGTTCTTAAGCAACATCTACAACTTGAAATCCTTTTTTCCCTTCACTTGTTATTTTTGTCATACATCCCACAATTACCTTATAAAGTACCAGCATAACAGTTTAAAAATGCTTTCTTGATTTTTAAAATATCTCTTTTTGGAGTTTATATATTCATTACATGTTATTACATCATATTATGTAGAATTATACGATCAATTTTTGATTCATTTATACATATTTACAGATACGTTCATACGTCTTAGCATGTCTTTTTAAGTGATTATGCATTTTAGATAATTCACAGGAAGATGTTTTACTTACTATGATATTGACATATATATGGATATATATATATATATATATGAGTGTATCGATATAAGTATATATGCATATGTGTGCATATATGGGTGTGTGACTGGGTGGTTAGAATGTTCACTTTCTGATCATGAGATCTGAGTTCAAATCTCACAATGGTCAATTTGTCAGGAACATGACTTCTTGATGTTATCAGGCTGGGGAGGTGATTCCAGCATGTGACACCTTTGGAAAGTGACTGAAAACCATACCACAGGTTGACCCACACCTTGTGACTTAAACTGGGTAGACAGAACTGTTTGTAGGCTGTTGATAGTTGTGCTAGCATGGCATCACAAGTCATCATGACTGAGGGTTTAAGCATACTGGTGTTTTTCAAACTGCTGATCATGACAGATTATGCATTGTCTCCCAAAAACTTTAATTGTTCAGCATAGTTACAATATAAACCACTGGTGGGCCCTGTGGGTGTTAAAAAATCTAATGTGCCTGAGTAGGTGTCTGTGACAAAGATTTGCTAGTTGCTTTCAAAACTGGAGTAGCCAGCCATTATATGCATGTGTACATTTTTACATCTCAACATACCAAAGCAGATATACAAGGTAGTTGAAAAGTTCACAACCAAAGAAGCCTTTCCAAGAAATACCTTTGGCCAGACTTTGGGAAGTGGGCTAGATATATGTTGATGTCTATCTGAATATATATATATATATCTGTTAGTATTTTAACATATGAAAATACATGTGTATACAGCCAAATATATTAATATCATAATATTAATATATTTGGATGTATACATATATATATATATATATATATATATATATTATATTTACATAATGCTAATATTACATACATACAGAAAATATATACTTGATATATTTTTATATGAAGGGGTGCCAAAAATTTTTCAGTTTTACCAAGATGATAGACCATTTGGTCGAATTTAGAGAAATGGGTTGGACGAAGAACTTTTCTCCATTCCTCTGTATAAAGCTTAAATGTTGCCTATTAATAGAATCTATATCATAATTATATGCAAATACTGGTCATCATTAATATTCAAAGAGCCTGCTCTGCTTATTCCTATTATTTTCTTATTAAGAAAAAGGAAACAAGTCTATAATAACTAGTTAACAAACCTGGAGTTATCTATCTTGAACTGACTTTGTTTTTTATTCAGTTGTACTTAATTAATTGAAAATTACTCAGAAACCAGTAGTCTGATTAGAGTAAAAATTGCTTTATTGAAGTTAGAGATTTTAATAGTATTGTGCTAACAGAAATTCATTATAATGTGCTGTTTTTGCTGTTGATTTATTTTTCATATGTAACTTAGGATTTTAACTGATACTCAATTTTCTTAAGTTTGGTGCAATAATTTGTACTTAAATGTCTTAAATAACTGCTTAAATCATTTTTTGGGGATATAATAAAAAAGAAAGTCATTAAAATATAATATTCTATTAGTAAAATTCTTTATTATGGTATAAAATAATGTATTTATTATTTTTTTTTGCTTAATTTTACATCCTTGGAGAGAAAGGGGTTACTTAAACCACACTGACATCGAGAGCGGAATTACTTAATATTTATCATCCTGGGTATGACGATAAACTACATCGAGCAGCAAGGCCTCTACTCGGGAGGTTTTGAGAAGCATGGAACCAACTGTTAATTGCTGTTTCTCCCAGATCCATCCTGACCCAGGGTCATAGCACCTGTTAGGGTCGCAGCTAAGGGCAAATAGTGAACCTCCAAACTAGAGTCAAAATATTATTAAAGTATAAAAACATGTTTCTAGTAAAAATACAAACAATATATTTTCATAGTAAAAAAATTTACCAGCAATTCATTATTGAAAAAGGAAGAGAAAAATTACCATTTGTAAAATAAAAATTACTAAAATATCCCAAGAAAATTAAATTTTGACACTAAATGACCCATAAAGTTTTGATATGCCACTAAACAAAGCAAACCAAACCAAGCTTAATATTTAGTCAAATTGGAGTACAGTTACTTATAAACAAAAAATTGTGTATCTTTAAACATAAAAATATATAATTTATATATTATTTGTTCTTATTGTATATTATTTACCAGTTTTTAGATAAACATTAATTGACTAACCTTGTAACCATTTTTAGTATATTTTCTTTAGAGATTGTATAATCTGCTGTATTAACTACAAGTTCTGAAACTAACTTTACATACAATTTAATACTAAATTATCGACATTGTTACACTTACTGATAAATATTTTTTGGTTATTCTTGTGTCCCTAACTTTCTTTTGTTCTGTCTTGATGCTTCGTCTGATAGAGCACATTAAATTTTTTCTCATTTTTCCTTTCCCTTAACAGAAGAAAAAAAAAATGATGCAAAAATATCTTTTTGCTCTCTTCCAAAATGTTTTCTTAGATGCCATTTTGTTTCCTTTCTTCATTCTTCTCATCAAGAAACTATTTTTATTTAGTCTTTGTTGCCAATTTCATCTGCAAGAGACATTTCTCTGTTCTTTGTTGCCTTCTTACTGTCACCATATCTGTTCGAGCTAATCTCCAGCGTTTTACCTGCTGTTTCTGTTCTATAAAGTTTTGGTTAACATAGTTATTTGGGACAAAATAGGATAAAAGCAACAGGCAGATGTTAAATTCCAGAATGTCTAATCTTGAAAATAGTCACAAAATTAATTGATATTTCAATACAGTCTTTTGTAAGGGCATTAGTTTTGTTGAGAGTTTGATGATGGACAAAAGTAATGAATTTCAACTGAGACATTATTATAATTATATATGGATGTGTGAAAGTTTATAACAAATATATAATGTATGTATGTGTGTGTGTATATATATATATATATATATGATAGAAACATAATAAATTGTAGCCTCTTGAAGAAGTGTATAAATATAAATGTAAGAGAAATAAAATGAAAGAAATACTAAAATTAATAACTTCATTTAAGAAATTTAAATAATATTATAAACATATCAAAAATATAAAATTTATATATATATATATATATATATATATATATATATATATTGATCCCAGCTTGAAGCAATCAGACATTTCGTCACACTGAAGAGCTGTGAGACAGTGAAAGTGTCTGTCTATGGATGACTATATATGTATGTATAACATGATAGATAAGCTACTGTATATAAGTAATACATCTATAAATTCATAGATAATTAATGCATTTGCTTAATAATTTATCATTTAATTGTACAGACTGAGAACACACACACACACACACATACATATATATATATATATATATATATATATATATATATATATACTTATTTTTTCCTGCATGAATGTGAAGCAAAATTTATTTGCATATTTAAATTTTATGTTTTCTATAAATCTTACTTATTATAAAACACAGATTGTGTGTGTGTGTGTGTGTGTGTGTGTGTCTGTACGTTTATATATTGGATCGGATTTCCTACATTTTTCAACCGATTTCAACAAAACTTCACAGGACTACGTAAAATTATCTTGCGATGGTTCTGACAGTGCCAAAAATTGGAAAAACACAATTGTTTTTGCATGAAATCAATTTGAAAACACAATTAAGAGGCATCGCTATTGCGAGAATGAAAGGTTGACAACTCATAT